AGTTAAATAGTGCTTCTGCTCTGTGTAATACAGTCGTGCCCAAATCTCCACATGAAGCATCTAGAAAAAGAACTGACAAGAGCTTGTTGTTGTTAGGTGCCATCAAGTCGGTACCGACCCATAGTGACCTTATGCACAGCAGAACAAAGCATTGCCCGATCCTGAGCCAACCTCACTACTGTTGCCATGCATGAGTCCGTCAATGCTGCCATGTGGCCAGTCCATCTCGTTGGGGATCTCTCTCTTTTTCTCTGCCCCTCCACCTTAACAAACATGATATCCTTCTCCAGCGACTGATCCCTTGTGACGATATGTCTGAATTATGAGAGACCAAGTTTGTCCATCTTGGCCTCCAAGGAGCACTCTGGTTGCACTTCTTCCAAAACAGATCTTTTGGTTCTTTTGGCAGTCCATGGCACTTTCACTATTCTCCTCCAACACCATAAGTCAAAAGCATCAATTCTTCTGTGGTCTTCCTTATTCAGTGTCCAGCTTTCGCATGCATAGGAGGTTATTGAAAATACCATGGCTTGGGTCAGGCGCACCTTAGTCCTCAAGCTGACATCTTTGTTCTTCAACACTTTAAAAAGGTCTTGTGCAGCAGATTTTCCTAATGCAAGACATCGTTTGATTTCTTGACTGCTGCTTCCATGAGTGTTGATAGTTGATCCAAGAGGAATGAAGTCCTTGACAACTTCAATCTTTTCTCCGTTGATAAGAATGTTGTTTATTGGTCCAGTGGTGAGGATTTTTGTTATTTACCGCACATTCACTGACAGGGACACGAGTCACTTAGCTTTTGCTAATGCAGCAAACTACCCCAACTTTAGTGGCTTCAAACGTCCACCATCCATTCATTCTTCTCTCAGTTCTGCAGGCGCAGTGTGTGCTGGTGTCTACAGGGCAATTCTCGTGGTCTTGATGGTGCGGCTTTTGCTCCTGTGTCTGAAGCTAGGGGTGGAAGTTTGACTGGTGGTGGGATGGCCTTTGGTCTCTCCTCCAGCAGGCTAGCTTGGGTTATCAGCATGGCAGCGTGCAGCGTTGTCATATGGTCGGTCACCTGTATTTACTCTTGTTGGCTAAAGGGACTCACAAGGGTGACCCAGGGGGAAGTGGTGGGAGTGGAGCCATCCCTTCTCATGAGAGAAGCTGCAATGTCCTTTTGCAAAGGGTCACAGGGACTGAGAAGATACAGGATTGTGGCCATTATTGCAACCCAACACCATGCCCCAAGGAACTGGGAAGAGGAGCAGCCATCTGGGTATGTATGTTTCTTGAAGGAATTCACCTCACATGTATAAAATTAGGATACTGGTATGCTCGTGTTGATCAAACATGCAATCAAAATGTACTGATAATTACTGGTGATTGGAATGCAAAAATTGGAAACAAAGAGGAAGGGTCATGAGTTGGGAAATATGGCCTTGGTGATAGAAATGATGCTGGAGATCACATGATAGAATTCTGCAAGACCAGTGACTTCTTCATTGCAAATACTTTTTTTAAACAACATAAAAGACAACTATCCACATGGACCTCACCAGATGGAATACACAGTAATCAAATTGACTACATCTGTGAAAAAGCTCCATATCATCAGCCAAAACCAGGCCAGTGAAAACCATGGAACATATGCAAGTTCAGGCTGAAGCTGAAGAAAATGTAAACAAGTCCACAAGAACCAAACTAGGACGTTGAGCATACCCCACCTGAATTTAGAGATTATCCGAAGAATGGATTTGATGTATAGACACTAAAGACCAAAGATCAGAAGAGTTGTGGGGTGACATCAAGGACATCATACAGGAAGAAAGCAAAAGGTCTTTAATAAGACGAGAGGAGGAAAAGACCAAAATGGATGTCAGGAGAGACTATGAAACTTGCTTTCCAGTGTAGAGATGCTAAAGCAAATGGAAGAAATGAGGAGGTACAATTGTGTAGTGGATGATGAGCTGGATTGCTAACCACGAGGTCAGTAGTTCGAATCTATCAGTTGCTCCACAGGAGAAAGAGGAGACTTTCTGCTCCTTTAAAGATTTACAGCCTTGGAAACCCTACACAGGGTCACTATGAGTCAGAACCATCTCAGTGGTTCACAACCACCACCACCAAAGCCACCTCGTTGTCATAGCTTCCTCCTGCCATAGCCACTGTCCTCGTTTCCATAACCCTGCCCACCACCATAACCACCATCATTACGAAAATCCATTACAACTGTCCCCACCACCACCAGAGCTGCCACCAGAGCCACTTCATCCACTGACGTTTCCTCCATGAACTAGTTGTCATTCGCACCAAAACCTCCACGGCCACCACTGAAGCTTCCAGAAGCACGTCCACTTCTTTGGCTGGAGGCCATCTCTTGACAGGGCTTTGCCTACTTCAGAGTTGCATTATTCACAGTAGTGACAGTCTTGTCTACAGAGTCATGCTCATCAAAGGTCACTAAAGCAAAGCCCCTCCTCTTGCCACTGTGTCGATCTGTCATGATTTCAGCCATTCAGTTGTCCTTAGTGTTGAAAATCATCTCATAGGTGATGTTCTTCAGTGCCCTCTTGTTGAAGGCAATATATATATATATATAGTTGTTGTTAAGTACCGTGGAGTCGGTTCCGACTCATAGTGACCCTGCACAGGGTTTCCGAGGCTGTAAATCTTTACGGGAGCAGAAAGCCTCATGTTTCTTCTGTGGAACCACTGGTAGTTTTGAACTGCCGACCTTGAGGTTAGCAGCCCGATTCGTAACCACTAGGCTACCAGAGCTCCTTAGAGGACAGTTGTTGTTGTTGTTGTTAATAGAGAGATGACAACACTACCTTCAGAAGTGTGGAGACCTAGATGGAGGATATGACAAAAACAGTAACTTCAGATTTTGATACATGTGTTTAATCCAGGTGTCTATGACTTTGTGGTAATACATGTTGACTTACTCTCATTATTGTATTTGATTTCTACAACTTTATTGTAGCTAAGCAGGGCTAGTATTATCATCCATATTTTATAGGTTAAGAATTTGTTAATTAAATTGGGTAGGAAGAAGGGATGAGTGGTGTTGGAAGTATTACTACAAGGTCCCAAAAGAGAACCAAAGGCAAGATCTTACCACCTGGCTCTGTCTCTACCCAAACACTGTCACTTCAGTGGCTAAAGTGAGTGAAAAGTATTCATTGTGAAGCTACTTGTTTGCCGGCATGTTAATGACTAAGGGCATGTGATGCCCTTTAAACAGTTTTCATCATAGTCATTTGGAGAATTGTTTTTATTCGTGTTAGTGATAGATTGTTGTTAAGTGTCATCAAGTCGGTTCCAACTCATAACGACCTGTATAGGGTTTCTGAGGAGCAGCTGATGAGCTTGAGTCACCATATATCTTGTGGTTCAAAACGACTATGCAATCCGGTGCATTAACCCACAGCCCCACACCAAGAGTCCTATTTGCTGGCCTTTCTGTTACAAAGGTTCACAGAAAAGCTGTAAACCAAACATTCTGTGGACTGGTATATATTTTAAAGGAAAGTAAATCTCACACGTGAAATTGACAGGCAGTTGTTACATAAACCCAAAGTTCAGGTATCTGAGATGAATGAAAACCTCTCTGCACAGAGACTGCAGCAGTGGGTTGCTCAAATTGCAAATTAAAAACAAAAACAAAAAATGCAGAAGCAGTCCACTTAGAATATTCTCTTCATGTCAGAAATGCACCTTCATGCTTGAAAATGATAAAAAATGACATTCGATCCTTTACAACTATTCTATTCATCTTTATTGATCAGGTTCAAGAAAGATAAATCGCAGCCCAAATAAGATTATAGTAAACGTTAGCATGGTAGGAGACTCGGGGTTGATGGAGAGCCATTCATCACCTCAAATAGTGACCCGTCCAGAGCCGCGGCCACCCTGAGCCTGTCTAATCACATACCTATTGATTTTATCTACATCCCAGGATCCTGGATGTGACTGTCATTGGCCAACACAGATGGTTAAATGCAGAAGGGGGCACTGGTGTGAAGAGGATTTCATTTTCATCTTCTTTCCAACCAACAATGGTGTATTGAAAAATCAACCACCCCAGGCCATGCATGTGGAGCCTGGGTGATTGGGGGTTAGGGTTCACAATAGACCACTGCATTGTGTGATGGGTTCTGCTGTTGTTCCTTTAGTGGAGCAGCACATTCTGCAGGATGTTTCATTAGAGGCTGAGGGCTCATGGGATCCTTGAGGACCCTGACTTCCACCCCCACCCCGCCCTCGCGGTAAAACAGGTTTTAAAATAGCCAGTCAAGATGCATTGTAAGTTTGCCACCCAGAAAAGGCTTTTATTTACCATTGTAACTTGGTTAATGTCACTTTTGTATCCATTCGTGTCATAGTAGAGGCGTCTGTTTTTTAATAGCTAAAATTTCTGCTTATTATACTAATTAGTTTGTTATCAATCAGTGCACTTGTGGTCACATGGATGGCCAGCTTGGTGGATGGCAAATTCTATTCCATAAAATATCCATCTTGAAGGCAGAAATTTTGCGTCAAAGTGATCCTTTGGTATGGAGTTGGAACCCTGATGGAGTAGCAGGCAAATGTAAATGATGGGTGTGAATTTCATTATTTGAGCTCAAGCATTCTTTGATTCCAAATGAGGGAAAAGTAAACAATATTTCAAATATATAGGAAAGGGTGTCAAAAAGTTTATGGAGAAAAGCCATTATCTTTTCATTCCATGTTTTCTACAAATTTGGAAGCCCCCTGGTTTATTGGAAGCAGTTTCCAAAGGATCAAAGAATGATGAATTGTAACTATGAGAGCTTCATTTGTAATTATAGCCTGCATGCCAGTAACTGTACTAGTATATAAATGATTTTTTTTAACATACATTTTCATAAATAGTCCAGGGCCACTACTGCTTGAGTGATCCAAACAAGAGTCCGTTTGTTGAAGTTGTATGTCTTGCACACAGTGTAGTCTAGTCCTCCCAGGTTGTGAAAACTGTCTCTTTCTTTTTCCAGAGCTCAGAATTCTACAAAGTGACCACCGAGCAATATCAGAAAGCTGCCGAAGAGGTGGAAGGAAAGTTCAAGTAAGTTTGTGACAGTATTGTCCTTATTTACTGGTTTTGGTGAGATAAAAGTACACTTTTCTTGGTTTTTGACCCGAGGATAGTTTGTGATGGAGCATTCTGGAATACTGGGAAATGTGTTGGGGTAGAAAAGTGGAACCTTGTGTTCAGCTGTACTTAGAATTCACATCCAAGGCAAGGGTCTTTCTTAAGAGCTGGCTGCATTGTAATCTGTTGTATGCAGGGAGGGGAATGAAAGATGATGGCAAGTCAGCATTTGCATGTGGAATAACATGGAAGATAGGATGCCCGTGACATTGAAGATGGTGTTAAATTGCTACCTCTAACAATGGAAACGTAGAAACCATTCACTTTCACATAATAACGCGACGCGCATGTCCAGATTTGGGTCTCCACCTAGCCATGCTTAAGCCGTCTTGGTTTCTTTGCAAGTTCCTTAAAAGCATTTAAAGCAGACTTCACCTTGCCCCAGATTATGAAGGCGATATTAAATTGTTACCTCCATTAATCCTTGGGATGTTTAAATGAATGTTCTGTAATTGATGGATCAAAGTGTCTGACCCCTGGCCCTGGATTTTCCTCCCACTGACAGTTCTCACATTAGGTAAGGAAACATCATTCAGAATTTTCTGGAGTGTATAAATGGTGCCATTGTGTTACCCCTGTTAGTAACACATGTGCAAATTACTGAAGCAAAGAAAGCTGTTGTGACAGCTTTAGTTGAAAGATTGCATGGGGTTCTGACCTCCTTCCTTGTGCATGTTTATAAGCATTTGATAAAATGATTGCACCCTAAGGTGGAGTCATTACTTTCTGCTATCGTACAGGCTATGTGGTAATAGATAGTAATGTTATTTTAATGTTGGTTTAGAGAAAAAAAGAAAGGTTTTCCTAAGGATGGCTTGAGGTATATTTAAACAAACAAAAACCTTCCAGTATTCTTACATGAATTTTCTCCTGCTTCCTGTTGGGGGATAGAGACCCTCTAAGAACTGGCTCTGTAACTCACCCTTCAAAGTCAATGTGAGAAATCATTTTATAAAAATACATAAAAACCACCAGGCTCGCTGGTCAAGCAGAGACTGGTGGGACTCCTTGACACTTAATCACACTTCAGGTCTGGAAATCAGCTCACCCCCATGGTGCAGTTTTCAGCCAGTGTTGTTGTTGTGAAACGATGTTGAGTCAGTTCTGACCCATAGCGACCCCGTATACGGTTTCAGAGGAGTGGCTGGTAGGTTTGAACCACTGGCCTTGTAGTTAAAACTGACCTTGTGGCCAGTGCATTATCCTGCAGCAACGCACCAGTTCTCCCAGGCCAACAGTAGACAGACTTGTAAGGAGAACAGTTACATTAATGAGATACTAAGGAGGGACCAGTCGCTGGAGAAGGATATCATGTTTGGTAAGGTGAAGGGTCCGGAAAAAAAAGGAAGACCCCCAGCGAGATGGATTGGCCAAGTGGCAGCATCAGTGGGCTCAAGCATGGCAACAATTGTGAGGTTGGCCCAGGACCGGGCAGTGTTTTGTTCTGCTGTGTATAAGGTCGCTATGGGTCGGTACCGGCTCGATGGCACCTAACTACAACAACAATCAACCATTTGAGAGCACAAGGACAGCGTTTACACAGGGACAAAGTTCAGAAGAGTTAGGAAAGAAGGGAAAATGGCAGCAGGAAATGTAGGGAGGAAGAGGGATGAGCGATCATTACAGTGTGAGGACTTCAATCAGCGAGATGAAACAAAATGTGTATAAATTGTTGCACGGAAAACTCATCAGCTCTGTAAACTTACCCCCAATTCACAATAAAACGTTGTTAAAATGTTTTAAGTGAATGTGAGCTCTTTATCTAAATTAAGAATTGATTATAGGTATGATTTTTAAAGAAGTCTCCTTTTTTGTTGTTGCTAAGTTTTTATGGTTATGTTTCCCCTTAAGTATGAGAACCTTTGATCTTGGCATTTCTGTGATGTAAGATGATAACTAAAAATTTAAGGCCAGTCAAAGAAGATCAATTCTGGTGAGAATGACCTATGGAGTCATCATAAAGAAGGCAGATTTTAGGTGAGGCTTGCAGAAGAACATTGAGTAGGTGGAAGGTATTCAGAAGGAAATTGTGCTGCACGTCAGTTGGTGACAAAACCTAGAGTATGGTACGCGATGAAGCTGGGAAGGTAAACAGGGACATTGGCCACAGGTCTAAGAAGTTTGGTCTTGATTTACTAGGAGGTCATTGGGCATTCTTTGACCAAGTGAGGACTCTGGTAGATTTAATCATGTGACAGTGGATGCATTGTGTGGTGTGAGGTGTGGAATAGAAGAAAGAAGACTAGGTGGGGGTTCTCTGCAAAAGAAAGAGACGGCAACACAAGAAAGGCATTGAAGAGAGATCTGATATGAATTACTATGGTTTGTGTGGTGGTGGTGGTGGTGGTTACGTGCTGTGGAGTCGGTTCTGACTCAGCGCATCTGTATAGGGTGGCCGAGGCTGTAAATCTTTACGGGAGCAGAAACCCTCACCTTTCTCCCATGGAACCGCTGGCTGTGATATTAGCAGGCCAACTCATACATATAAGAGTTTCAAAACAGAATCAGAAATAGGAGCTTAGCAAATCAAAAAACAGGAGGAAACTGGATTTTATAGAGAGATGCTTCTGGAGAATGCAAGGCCATGCAGAGCGTGGAATAAATGGTGATTTCGCTTCTAAAAGTGATCTAGGCTTACACAGAGCCTCCGCGGCATTACCCTCTGGTTCTATAAAGATCCTCTTCTATAGAGGATCCAGTTCTCACCTGGCTAATCTGTAGTAAGGAATTTGGCTTTGCCCACAGAGGGTCTAGGAGTCCTGGTGTAGTGCTGTGGGTTAATGCGCTGGACTGCAAATTCCATCTGAACTGTAAGGTCGGTGGTTCAAGGTCACCAGTTGCTCCTTGGAAACCCTATACAGGGTTGCTGTGGGTCAGAACCAACTCAACAGCAGACAATACCCTGAGATTCTCATACATGACACCACCATCCAGAACTCAATCCAGATATAGAAGTATTTAAAGTAAAACAAACCTACAAGGCTGAAAATAGGGAACCAGAGATACCAATGTATAATGAAATCAGCTAGCTACAAAGCAAAAGCAGGAATAGTGTAGGTACTCAACTTCTAAATGGCAAGGAAGTCAAGTGGATTTCAAGATCAAACAGGTTGTTTTAAGCAGGGAAATCGATTATAGGGTAACCTCAAAGAAAAATAATATGCCTGCACATCAAAATAAAAAAGAGGGAAAATCAGAAAGATTTAGTAACAAAAAACCCCAGCAGGAATGAAAATGTCAAGAAAACCCACAAACAACATGAACTCAGTGTAGAAAATCCCATGGAACAAAGAATCCAGCAGCACTGCGCGCGCGCGCGCACACACACACACACACACACACACACACACACACAATGACTACAATCAATTCATATCTGTTGATAATCACACTGACTTTAAATGGATTCAGTACACCAGTCAAGAGACAGAGAAAGCAGAATGGATTAGAAAACAGGATCCTTCAAAATGCTGTCTGAAACAGACATCAAAAAGATGGAGACAGCCTAAATTCCCATCAACAGAAGAATGGTTAAACTTTGGTACAAACACACAATGGCATGCTATAAAAGGTTGAAGACTGATGATGGATCTGTGAAACACCTCATAACATGGTTGTATCTTAAGGACATTATGCTGAGTGAAATTAGTCAATCACGAAAGAACAAACATTATATGTTGTAAAAAGGTTAAAAAAAACCCAAGATTGTCTTGATAAAAGAAGCAATCTATGATGGTTACAGTGGGGGCGGGGGAGGGAAAATTAATCATGGCTAGAAGGTTGTTAACATGGGTGACAGGGCATACAACAGGAGGGAGGTTAGCAGAGGAAAGATGAAGTTTGTGGGAGACACAGGGAGAAATGCAATAGATGAAGTGAATAGAGGTGAATACTGCTAAGTGTTGGTACCTGGAGGGGATTGCAACCATGTCGTGAAGCAAAGTATATGGTTTATAAACATGATCTGCTCTGTAAACCTTCAGTCAATTCACAATAAAAAGTTAATAAACAAAACAAAAACTGGTTGCTTGGTGGTGGTGGTTATGTGCCGTGGAGTCGATTCTGACTCATAGTGACCCTGTACAGGGTTTCCGAGCCTGTAAATCTTTACAGGAGCAGAAAGTCTAATCTTTCACCCGTGGAACAGCTGGTAATTTCGAACTGCTGACCTTGAGGTTCGCATCCTGATTCATAACCATTATGCTACCAGAGCTCCTTGGAGAGTAACTTATTCAAGGGAACTTCATAGAAAACGTCCATTGTCTGTTAATTCCAACTTGCTACAAACTTTTTGAAGCCACCTTGTGTAATTTCTCTCCCCCAGCTATTACTTGATAGACTGAGCTTGCCAGCAGGTCATATTTTAGTTTCCAGTTAGTTCACCAACTTCACATCTAAGAAGTAACAGGCCCCTGGCTATAGGAGATGCCAGCCGTCTGAAGGCACAGAGATTACTTAATGGTAACCTTATTTCTCCTTAGAAACTTGACCTTCTCAGATCACCGCAAGCCTTCAGTCTTGGGCAAGCCTGTACTCTGTATTCTTGCACACCAGAGCTTCCTTACCTGGCCAAATTACTCCACTGGCTCCTGTCTATGTGATCAGTTAGGACCTGAAAGTATCACCCTGTAGACTTCCAACAACCTTGAACCTGAGCTCAGCAGTCCTCTTAGGCAACAAGCTCTTGAAGGACTTTGAAGACTATGTAGTGAATTTTACTTGATGGTTGTAATATCCATCTAGAGTACAGGAGATGGAAGTTTTTAAATTGCCAACTCAAGGGCAAAATTGTACACCTGATAGGAGACCACGCAAAATCCTTATAAATAGAAAGCTAAGAGCATCTGAGACTGCACTGGGCTAGCAGCAGTCACACTGAGGCTGGTGTAGTAGTTTTAGGGAGCTTATATACT